AACTTCGAGTTGTGCTTAATTGAGTTCTCATCTTGTTAGAGAATAAATCATTTATTATATCGAGCTTAATTGTGAGGTTCACTTTGTATTACACTAAGACACCAAGAGAAATGTGTGGTGAGAGATGGGGTAGTCCCAAGAGGAGTGGGGTAGGTGTTAATGTTAGAGAAAGGTTGTAATTCCTACACTTGAGGGAGACACGGGCTAGAGACCAACACTTGAGATGGTAGTTAGTGTGTTTATATTGTGAGTGATTGTAAAGTTTTCGGTGAGCTAGAAAACCGAGTGTGAGGTGTAAACGTTATTCGGGTGAAAGTTTTCGGTGAGCTAGAAAACCGAGTGTGAGGTGTAAACGTTATTCGGGTGAGCGTAGAAAACCCGGTTGTGATAGTGTAAACGTTATTCGGGTGAGCGTAGAAAACCCGGTTGTGATAGTGGAGATCTCCTCAAGGTGAGGAGTAGAGACATAGGTCGTGGGGACTGAACTCCATGATCATATCATTTATTTACGTTTGTCATTAGCATTCCTTTATATTCGTGCATATCATTTATATCACCTTTGTCAATTGCTTGTTGTTTAATATTGCTCTATCAATTTAGTAGTTTGTTTACCCTTGTGCTACTTGTATATCCTTGCACATATATTTGTAATATATCATTCTTGCAAGGATAACTTGTTAATAAGTTTTTAATTGGTAATAAACTAGAATAGATTAGCATAAACCGTGTTCACCCCCTCTTGGGTTCCTTCCTAGTGGCATTAGGGTGCTTTCAAGATTCTTCCTATTATAGCTTTTAACAAGCTCATGGGCTACCATGATGTTACTACTAATATGTCTGTCTTGCACAAAATCACACTAAGCTTCATTCACAAGGTAACACATCACTTTCTTAATCCTATTTGCCAGGATCTTAGAAATGAATTTATACATGCAGTTGCAGCAAGAGATAGGTCTGAAATCTGAAGGGAGTTTAGGACAGTGCACCTTAGGGATGACTGTAATAGAAGTGGAGTTCACCATGCCCAAGAGTTTTCCAGGTTTGAAAAATTCTCCTATCGCCATAGTAACATCCTCTCCTATAATGGACCATGCTAATTTGAAAAAAGAAACACTAAACTCTCATCAGGACCTGGTGCCTTATTGTCTGGCATTGAGAAGATAGCATCTTTGATTTCCTCCTTTGAAATAGGTCTCAGGACCTGGTGCCTTATTGTCTGGCATTGAGAAGATAGCATCTTTGATTTCCTCCTTTGAAATAGGTCTAGACATTTCCCTGATGTGAGATTGGCATTGAGAAGATAGCATCTTTGATTTCCTCCTTTGAAATAGGTCTAGACATTTCCCTGATGTGAGATTTATTCAAACATGGGCCAACTTTTATAACATTGATGTCAGGAGGGGAAGTTACCATTGCAGTCCCCATATGATTTTTATAAAAAAAAACTAAATCATTGACAATATCTTTACCATCTGTGATTCTATCTCCTCTATTATTATTGAGAACCATAATTCTGTTGTTGTGTCTATTTGCTTTTGCAACATCATGGAAGAATCTGGTGCATCTATCCCCTTGTAAGCTCTAGGCAATTCTAGCTTTCTGCTGAAAAAAAGATAATTCACAGTCCAACGGTCTATTATAAGTGATGAGGTAGTTTTTTCCTTGTTTTATGAGTGCAGGATCAATGGGATTTGCTTGAAGAGACTTTTGAACATCCTCCAAAGCAATTCTTGCTCTTATCACTTGCTCACTGATATTGTTGAAGTGTTTCTTGTTCAATTCCTTAAGAGATCCCTTTAGCAGTTTGAGCTTAGAATAAACTTAATATGTAGTGTATCCCTCAAAAGAAGACTGCTATGTATTTGAAACTGTATCAAGAAAACTAGGATGATTAGTCCACATTTTAAAATTTTTGAACGGCTTTTTCCCTTGCATATTGTTCTCAAAAATAGTTACAAGGCCTGGAGAGTGATCGGAAAAGTTTGGAAGGAGGAATTCAACTTGACTAGCATTATACATATTAATCCAAGAGCCATTAACCAATGCCCTATCAAGTCTGCTCCAAACTCTAGTGTCAGAATCTTGCTTATTATTCCAAGTATAATAGCATCTTGTGGTTTTCAAATGGGAGATGCAACAATCATCAATGAAGTTTCCAAAGTCTCTTGTATCAGCTTCTGATAAAACAGATCCTCCCAGTTTTTCTTCATTGCTAATCATAGCATTGAAATCTCCAAAGATTAACCAAGGTAAATTTCCAACATTTTGATGAACATTAATCAGATCAGACCATAACTCTTTCCTAGCCTCCAAATGATTGTGTCCATAAATTGAAGATATGACACAGTCTAGTTTACCATCCACAGATTTAACAGAACATGAGATATGTTGATTAGAAACTTTAATAGTTTGAATGTCCATAACATTAGCATCCCACATAATAATAATTCTAGCTTCGCCAGGAGATCTAACATTTGATAACTAATCCTAGTTTTTTGCAATTTTCTTAGCAACCTTAGGTAATAGAGACTCCTTAATTTTGGTCTCAAGAAGAGAAATAAAAGAGAGATGATAATTCACCAAGTGTTGCTTTACCGACAATTGCTTTGAGGGTTTATTTAACCCTCTCACATTCCAAAATGAAAGGTTCATTTAGTCAATCTCCCCCTATCTATTATAGAGGGATCAAACTCTAAATTATCCAAAGATAAGAAAGAATTTCCAGATAACATTTTACCAGAGATCCTAGCATCATTTGCATGAGAACAGCCTTCTAAATGAGGGACAGAAGGGTTAACATGAAACTTTTGCTTGTTACCTTTGGCTGATATCAATGAATTTGTATAAAACCCTATAGTTACAGATTCATGTTGTTGGACGTGCACAACATGCACAGACATGAAATCTGCATTTATGTTGCACAGACATGAATTTTTTCCCCTGATGTAAGGACCCCTTACCTTTAGACAAATCAGCCCCCTGAACATGTACAACCTGTACAGGAGAAAGATGAGAAATATTTTCAATGATCCCATTCTGACTAGAACCCTCAATATTTTGTACTTGTTCAACAGATTCCCCAATATTACTCCTACCAGTTTGATTCAAAATTTCCACTTGTTGCACATCAGGAAATGAAGTAACTATGTTATTAGTGTTTGCAACATTCTCAGAAAATGGCTTTTGTTTAGGAATCCATTTTTGAACTCTAGGCTGTTTACTGCAGAAATTAGTGTCATGTCCTACAAATTTGCACAAGTCACACCATCTAGGCTTGAATTCATAATGCACCTTCTGATTATAAGTTTTTCCATTTGGTCCTTGAGCAGTTATATGATCAGGGAGAGGAGAGGGCATTTTAACCTCCACTAGGACTCTAGCATAAGTCAGCCTTTGTTTGTTTGCAGTCAATTTATCAGTAGCAATAGGCCTACCAATGACAATTGTTATAGATTTCGTTGGTTCTATATGGTTTAAAAGTAATGGTTGTTATACATTTGAGTCATACACTCAAATTAATTTCTTGTTAAGAGAACCATATTTTGGCCTGTTAATTATTTTTCAGTAATTTCAAGATATATCGTAAAATGAATGTGACAAGCATGCAATTAACCTACAGTGATCTTTGGTTACCTTACAAGTAGTGTTCTGTTCCTTTCATAGGGATGAACTAATATAGCTGACAAAATTTCAACTTATTTAAACCATATATGATGAGAAAGATTAATTAATTATAAGTATAGTGATAGTTACTTCTTTTTAATTACGATGCAAGTAAAAATCAATCCATATGACTATATTTCTGATATAACTTAGGATCAAGTACCTTTAAAAAAGAAGAAGAATGTGCTCATGTATATTTCATAATTCAAAACCATATTGTTGTTTATAAAGTATATGTTGCATGATATACATATAGTTTTCCCATATGGTTCAACTAAATTGACTAGAAAAACACAAGACTGCCATGCCAGAAGAAGAAGGGGAAAAAAGCAAGAAGAAGTAAGAAGATATAACTTAGGATCATGTGCTCAAGTACATTTCAAAATTCAAAACCATTTGTTGTTGGAAATTATATGTGCATGTTTTTATATATATCATATATACATAGCAATCAATAATTTTATATTACCAACAAACATATATGTGTATTATTGATATATTTAATTTACTATTGGAACAATTGAATTCATTATAGTTTTTTTTCTTTGTGTTAGGGGAGTGGAGTACTACTATTATTTATGTGAAAGTGTTCTATAAGGTGACGCTTAATAACATTAATTAGATGCGGCCTAAATCCCATGATTGAGCTACCTTGTGGATGATCCGTTCTATTGAACTTGATCACATATTCTAAAACCCCAACACATCAAGTTTGGGGTGAATCCGTCGTTGTTGACCATTCATCACATCGTATCAATTTTAACGGCTTCGAATGAATAGAACTTTTCACATGGCTCGACGGATGGTCAAACAACGATGGGATCACCCCAAACTTGGTGTTTGGGGTTTTAGAATATGTGATCAAAGTTCAACGGAGCGGATCATCCACAATCTAGTTCAATCATGTGATTTTAGGCGCGTATTAGATGATATGCTAAGCGTCATCTTAGGAACACTTTTCCTAATATATATATATATATATATATATATATATATATATATATATATTATATATATATTATATATAATATATATATATATATATATAATATATATATTAATAATATATATATATATCATTATATATATATATAACATATATATATATATAACATATATATATATATACTAGATTATAGATACATATAATATATATATATATACTATAATATATATATATATATATATATTATATATATATATTTTATATTATATATATATAAATATATATATATATATATATATATTATATATATATATATATATATATTATATAACACTTACTTACTTAATGGACATAAAGAAACACAACAATAATTAATATGCCAACATTAAGTAAACTTATTGAATAAAATTTACTACATGATCTAAAACAAAAACAATGATCACATATCTTGGTGATGCATCTGAAATTTGCATTTTTGTGATGTACATATGCATAAATATTCATATCCTCAACCTTCCTAAAATACATTACCATCCACCTAGCGATTTTCTACACCCAAGAAGTCGATGAAAGGCACATCCTTCTTCAAGGATTCATTATCTTCATGTTTCATCATTACTTCATTAGAATTATCCCCAATTTTCACAAATTTGCACTCATCATCTACAAATGAGAAGCCAATAGAGAATGGACTTGCAGAGCCTAAACCACGATAACGATGATAATAAGGGAGGCGATCAGAGAACTGAGAAGAGCTTGGAAACCCCCAAGAGAACTGAGAAGAACTCGAAGGGGCGAAACCCTTCAAAGGGTTTCTAAACTCGAACATCCTGTGATTTGAAATATGATTTCTTTCTTGATGCACTGAAGTTGGGTCATAAATACTACTACTTCTACTACTTTTGCCAAGTTGCCTCGATCGTTCTCTCTGGCGACGAGCCATGATGACATGCCAGTGATTCTTGACTGCATTGTCAGTCCGGCCAGGGAACAGCCTGGCGATGTGGGCCCACTTGTTGCCGTGGACTCGATGAGCTGCGAGGAGTCTATCTTCTTCTTCCTCAGTGAAGGGTTTTCTGTTGATTCTTGGGTCTAGTTGGTTGAACCATCTCAATCTACAGCTTTTCCCTGCAAAACACAATTAAAAACTTTTCTTAGAATACAAGTATTTATAGAGCCAGGGTCAGAATGCAATCCCCGTTAACAGAAGAAATTAAATAGATGTAAGTGTACATATATCTCAAAGATTCAGACCGAGAAAATCTTCACGTTAATTTAGTACTAAAACTGTGGCTTAATCATTTGTCGTTGCGTAGAAACAGAAGGTCCTAAACAAATTATTAGTTTTTGCTTATATTCTTAATGCTACTTTGACAATTATATACCACAAACTGTTGATTTTTTTCCCTTTCAAATTAACTTGAAAAACTAAAATTTGATGAAAATTTTATTTAATATTCAATTGACTTTTTTTATATGATATACTTGAATGAGATTAATATTCATTTTTCTGTACCTGAGGCTATCAAACTGTCAAGATAGAATTTTAGGATATCAAAGGTAAAAATGAGTAGTGAAACTTTTGGGGTATCAAAGTGCAACTAGAAGATAAAGTTTGAAAGATGGAGATATGTATATCGATCATTTGAGCTCATAATTATGAACCTGATCGTCCTTGGAGCTTCTCCGCGATAGAGTTCCAGTTCTGAGGGCCATACTGCTCAACGAGCTGCCTCAGCTTCTCATCCTCGCCAGGTCGCCAGTGGCCCCGTGGGCAGGACTTTGTTTGATCCTCAGAGCCGCTAGCCTCCATGTTTTCCTCCATATAAATTTCCTTGTACTAAGATAAGCTTATTTGCTGACTATATGATATTTGATATGAGGAAGAAGTGGAGAGAGAAGGTAAAGGGGAAATTATGTAAAGGAGAGGGTAGGGTTTTTGGATGGCAAGTCTTTTTTGTTAGTTTTACACGACAACAAAGGGTAAGGTATTATAAATGTCAATATATACGTGTGTTTGTGAGTGCGCATTTATATGAGCTTTTGGTCACCTACATATATCTTCTTAACTTCCTTAACAATATTCTCTCAACTTCCTTCACAATATTTCTTTCTCTTTCAAACTCTCCCACACGTATGCATGCACTCTTATAGTATGGCAAGTTTCAAACTTTTCTACTTAAAAATCATGTAGTTACGAAAGTAATTAGATTAATTATTTTATGAGATGCTGATTGACAAATTTACCAGTGAGTTAGAGTTATTAATGTATGATGTTTCATGAAGTGGTAGGATTGAACTATAAACTACAATTTAGATTTAATTGATAATGATATTTATTCAATACCATATTCAAAGCCTACATGATTTTCTTGAAGATTATATATCATCTTTTAATAAGGAATAAAAATAAATAAATAAAACATCCATAATATTCTTCAAAGACCTTAACTGATCAGGACCGCTCCCAACATCGATTGATCGTTAGGGTAATGGGGAAGTAGATTGACTAAGATCTGAGAAAACCCTTGAAAATTAGGTGGATGAGCAAATTTTAAATTAATGCATTCACATGGCTAACTGCCAATTCCAATAGCTACACTTCGTATGATTAGAAGTCCTCTTGTTATAATGGGGGCATTTATGCTATAAAGTTTACATATTAATTTCAGAAGTTTAAAAGCAAATGTTGCAAAGACAGAAACACAAAGTATACAATTTTTTTGAAGGAGAAAAACAGGGTGAGATACCATGTTCATATATGCATTAAAATAAGAAGTTAGAGAACATACAAAACTAGGAGAGATTGTTGGTCTTTGCAAAAGGATATTAGTGAAGTGTCATAACTACACTAATCTCCTTCGCAGAGGCTACGACCAAACCTCCGAAACTGAAAAAAACTAAGTGTATCACTGCTGAACTTTCAGCTATAAAAAACGAACACAAAAGAAAAACAACAGAAACGCAATTAGAGTGAAATTGAAACTGGGTTTATGACTATCTGCTACTCTGGAGAGCTTCTGGATCAGTTGTCTGCCGAGAAGTTATCACCAACTGGATCATCCGTACCTGCTTTTGCAAGCTCCTTCTGTCCCAAGTTGATGGCGGCCTTGTGTAATATGCTTGAAACTCTATTTTCTGTTGTGCCTGTCCAGAACAGAGTTTATCTTGCAACCTTAGTAGCTATTTTCTGAGTGTTGACTTGAATATTATTAAATATGAGGTTGTTGCAGCTGTTCCATTTCTACCAACAAAAGCAAGGGAGCATGACTTTCCATAGAACTTTAAGGTTGTAACTGAACAATGGGTTGCTTTTGATTGAGATCAAGGATTCCTGAGACCAACAATCTATAGGTACTTGGGGGAGAAGAATAGTCCACACTGAGGATGTGAATGGACAATTGATGAACATATGGTCATGGGACTCAATGCACTGTTTGCATAGAGAGCAACTAGTGTCGTTAGTCCATCCTTTTTTGGCTAGTTTGTCTCTGATTTGCAGCTTCTATTTACTGAGGATCTAAAAGAATGCCTTGATCTTTAATGGGTTAGGGGATTTCCAAATGAAATTGTGGAGAAGGGAGTCTCTGAAGTTGGTAGTTGAATAAAAGGATTTGACTATAAATACTCTCGTAGGGTGGTGAGGCCACCAGAGGCTATCATGATTAGAGCTTCCTGCAAGTGTGAATGGATCCAGATGGGAGAGAAGAGTCGAGGTTTCAATTCTATCCTCTGGAGTGATCCCTCTTCCGAGAATAGGATGCCAGTTCCAAGCATTTTGAAGCATGAGACCTTATGAGTGTATGGAACAGGAGTGAGAGAATGCTAACTGGTGAGCTCTTGGGAATAGACTACTAAGAGAGCTAGCACTTGTCCATTTAAAAAGCATATTTTACCATCACCTACATTCCATCTAACATGACTAAAGAAAGTATGGTGAATAGAGTATAAATCATGAATAAGTTTAGAAGCCAAGCCTTTAGGGGGATGAACAATTGGGTTGGAATTATCATTTGAGTATCTCGAAAATCCTTAAAAGTATACATTTCTTGTTGATGACTTAATTAGATACGAGATTTATTAGAATTTAGAAAGGTTATTTGAAATTCATATAGGAAAGGAAATTTGATAGAAAATCTCGATAACAATTTAATAACATATGTTCTTCTTTTGCTAGATAAGTTTGAAAATTGGAGTACTACCTTCCAATGTCTTAACTATATTTCTGAGTGAAACAACAGACATTTTTTTATCCCCTAGGAATTATGATGAATACTATTGATGGGATTGTGTCTTTGATTCTTTGTATAACTTCATGAGAATTAGATATAGTTAGAGATCTATCGTGATTAGGAGATTGAGTCTCATCATGATTAGGAGTTTGAATCCTATTCTAGTTAGGAAGTTAGGCTAGAGATAGGGTTTTGGTTTCTCTATATATATTCTTCTATTGTTGGAGGAAAAACCAAGCAGATGAGAGAGAGTTAATATTCTTGTAATCTAGGGTGAGCAGAGGGCGTAACCTGATTCACGAATATTGTGCGAGAGGCAAGGATTTCGTAGTCTTTGTCCGTGCAAAAGATTACATCATTGGGAGAGGGTTTGCAGTCTTTGTCCGTGCAAAAGATTGTAAGGAGAGGACTTTGAAGATAGTATGAGAGTTGATTATGTATGTGAGGTTGAGAGATTAAGAAACGAGAGTTGAGTGATTCATCTTGTAGTTCTCCCTGATACATAGTGGATTTTTCGTATTGTTGCCCCGTGGACATAGGTCGAAGTTGGTCGACCGAGCCACGTAAATCTCGGTGTTCTTTCTTCTTGATCGATTGTGATTATTTTATATCTTATTGATTTTGGGTTGGCTTATAAGTTGCGCAAATCGTAGTAGGCGAGGAGGCTACAATCCCCAACAACTATAATAAAGATGTGTGAAATTTAGAAGTTTAAGCAACCGAAAGCAACTTTCTACTTTTTCTGGTCGACTTATTTTGAGCAAATGACTTAGTTACATACAGGTTTTGTTAGAGAAGTCAAGGTTCAAAGTTTAATAGTATTTGAAGTTGTTAGAAAAGACGATAAATTTTCAGGCATTAATTGGTGAAAATTTCCTTAATGAATAGTGTTAATAGTCACAAACTTGGCCAACATTCAACCTTAATCTATCTATATATTTAGTAAAACAGGTTTAAATGAAAAGGTAATAAGACTTTAAGCCAATTCAGGAATCTCTTAATTTAGGGGCTGTTTGGTTCGTTATTATAAGGGGTGGAAAACTCAGAAAACCCCTCCACGTCAGATTTTTAGCCCTCCACGTCAGCTTTTTTGTTTCCGTCCATTTCTTTGTGCCGCTTTGGTTCGCTCGAATGGAAGAGGGAAAACTCTGTTGAAATCGCCGCCAACTAAGATTTTTTTTCCCCTCCGATTTCCTTCCCCAACCAAGTGAAATTGATGAAAACTCTGCCACGTCAGATTTTTTTTTCCTTCTATGCTTTATTCACAAAAGATTTCCTTTTTTTTCTATGCGAACCAAACACAAGAAAAATAAATACATTGGTTTCCCACCATTTTTTATGTGCGAACCAAAGCAAAACAATCTATTTATTGGAAAAGTTTGGAAAACTCAAAAACTTGTGTTTCTTTACATGGAATTGCATTTCTCTATATCAAGGAAACGAACCAAACAGCCCCTTAGCTTTTAAATATAATTTATTTTTGCAGTTTCGGTACCCATATAATTTCAATAGGATAATGCCGCGTTGCATATATATCGCATTTTATAAACTTTCATGTCAGGATTTTTTTTTTTGGTCAATGAACTTAATTTTATTCATCTTCCAATTTGTGAATGAGCAGTACATCTAAGTGCCAGCAGAGCTGGAAACCAAAGAATTACAGGTTCTCAAGAATATACTTCATATGTACATTTGAATTATCATTAAGAACTTTTGTAAAAACAGAAAACTTGATGTCACTAAGAATCTGAGCAGGGAGCTTCCTTTTTCCTTGAAAGATTCTCCGATTTCTCTCCCTCCAGATCATATAAACAGCAGTGGATAGGCACATCCTCTTCAATTTCTTCATAGGGCCCTTTCCTTTCAAACTATAAGAATACCAATTCAAAACCAAACCCCATTCACATGACCTCCATCTATATTTCAACCATTCCATCACTAAATTCCAAACTTCAGCTGAAAATTAACATTCAAAGAAGATGTGGTTACTGGTCTCCAGTTCCTGTCTATTACACAGGACACAGTGAGTCTGATTTGAGCTCAGGATACCCATTCGGCCCAATCTATCTTTGGTGAGAAGTCTAGAATTAATGACAAACTAGCCACAAAATGAAAGAATGTTTAGGATATAAACAACTATCCCAAACAGTTTTAGACCAGGGCACTGTATTTGTAGACTGAATAAGAGACTTGTAGACTGCAGATAGTTGGAGTTTGTCAGCAACTTAACATTCAGTAATGACAGCCTCAATATTGTCAACACTACCAAACTTAAGCAACAACATATCCCTCACTTTAAGGAGTTGCCTCCATGCCCATGAATCATTTGTCTTGGAAGAAACAGACCAGATATTGAGCCTATGTAGATAGTTACCATGAATCCACTTTATCCATAGTAGATCCTTTTTAAGATGAATCATCCAAAGGAGCTTAGTAGCAGCAGCATAATTCCAGAACTTAGCTGAAAAAATCCCCAGTCCCCCTTGCTCCTTTCCCTGCCACACTGATTTCCAATTTACTAGATGAAGTTTATGTCCCCACAGAAATTCAGAACCCATTCTGTCAATTCTTTCCAATACTTTAACCGGCAGAATGTAATTACTGATCCAATATGTTTGAATGCCTAATATCACAGATTTAATCAGCTCAAGCCTACCTGCATAAGACAAACATTTTTTCTGCTGCCAGGTTTGGAATTGCTTGTTAATTCTGTCAATAAGGCAGGAG